AAGGTACAAATGCATTAAATGGGTACAAGCCTGGAACAGACTCTGGAGAGCCAGAGGGACAGATATTAGATAACTGCAACTCTGTCCTCCAATGTTCAGATCTAAAGAGATGTTGCAATACATGCCTATGCCAGGATAGGAGTGCCCCCGCATTTCAATAAACCAGATCTCAGTGGTATCAGTTCCCGTGTGCATGATCAAATTATGGAAGGCAAAATTGTTACTTTGGACCAACATGGTATTCAAGGGCATTATCAGCAAGCTAGTGGACAGTAAGATAACTAAAAACATTCTTAATAAAAGAATAGCTGGAACAGGGAACAGAAATTGGACCCCTCTTCCTATCTTGTGACCTGTAATTTAAGGGAGCAGAACATACCCTTTTGTGTAGGGCATTTGTTAAAGCTTGATTATGCTTAAAGCAGTTTATTGGAGAAAGTTTTTAAATCAAGTATAATACTTAAAACTTTGTAAAGCATATGGTAAGTAAAAAGGTACTACCACAGTCACTGGCTTTTCCATGGCAGAGCTGAATAATTGACTGCCACAGCTGGCACTGACCATGTAGCTATTGCTCACGTTCTTCACCTCATTGGTAGGCAAAATATATTTCTCCTAAGACACTGGGCAGAAGAATAGTGCATTCTGCAAGCCTCCATAGCTTCTTGCAGGACCAATAGTGAAGCAGCCAGGAAGCTATAAATAGTGCCGATGAGCAGTAAGTCTGGATTAGTACATCTGCAGTCAGAATTTGTCATGAGAGTAGGAAATAAGGAAGCAGCAATTCAAATGGTGTCTGTGGAAAGACAAACAGCATATATGGAAATATATTCTCACTCTCGAGGCCAGAGTAATGTAGCATGAGTACTGTTCTGTTGACAATTTGCCATAATTTTATTTAGATCTGACATAAATTTTCCCCATAAAAGCCAGGAGAAGAGAGTCCCAATGTGCAAAGCTGATTTAAAATGTATGTGTAGGCAGTAATGTTTCATTTATCCAGATCTTCTTTGTCTAGACCTTATTATGTACCTACATACTTTATGTTCTTTGACACATCAATCCAGGGATGGTATTGTTCTACAGCAGTCGTAATGTTTCTCCTTCAAACTCCCCTCTGTGTAATGCCTATAATAAATGTGATGGTTATCAGACAGTTTCCTGTGGCCCTATGGATGTACATGTATAGTTTTCTTTCTGAGAGTTGTTCTTTAAAAATCAGAATGGTGTCTAACAAAATTTCTTACTGCATTAAAGTTGAGAATAGTGTACTGTTGTCGTTGCTCATTATTCTATTGATACTGTACCTTTTGTTTTCTTCAGCTTTTGTCCCACCGTTGTGTCAACTCCTAAATCAAGTGTTCAGTTCTGAAAGATAACCTCCCCACCCCTATATTACTTTGCTTGTTGGAAATAAAATAATATGGGTTGTGCACATAAATCTGTGCAAAGCTGGGATGGAAGATGTTGCCTCTTGAGGTATGAGAAATTACTAGGTTGTGTGATTGCATACTGTAATGCACACACTTGGGCAGTGTTTGGCGATCTTTTAGCATTTAAACATCTATATTTAATAGGGGGTATGAGTGTTTGCTGGTACAGACTGTAGAAAAGCTTATTCCTAATAAATACAATTACAGTGGTGACTTGCTTAGCGATTGCTTCGTTTAATGACAAAATCGCTTAGCGACAACTTTTTCAGAGCATTTTTATGCTTCGTTTAACGATGGTCCCTATGGGCGATTTTCGCTTAGCGATGGTTGGGACCATGCTTCGCATAGCGATTAAATTTCGGGTCCCCTGTTTCGCTTAACGATGGTTTAAACAGCCTCATGTTTGCTGTTTTTTAAATGTTTTTCTGTTATGTATAAGTTAAAGTTTACTGTTTAAAATGTTTGAAATCATAAAGTGCACTTAATAAACGCTTTGCTAACCAAATTTGACTTTGTTTTGACTCTTTTTTAATTTGTTGTTGTATTCCCCCCCCCCAATTGAGATTCACTGAATAGGTTTCAATGCATTTCAATTGGGGTATTGCGTTTCGCTTAGCGACGTTTCCTATGGTGATTTTCACTTAAGGATGGCAATTTGTTCCTATTGGAATGGATTATCCAGTTTTCAATGCATTTCAATGGGAAACCACGTTTCGCTTAGCGATGAAATCACTTAGCAGCGATTTTTTTGGAACCAATTAACATCGTTAAGCGAGACACCACTGTAGTATTGACTGTAATAGAAGCTTACTTTATTCAGCTAAAAGGTAGTACAGTGTAGAACATAGAATTTGTGTCATAATTATATATTTGCATATGTTAAGAGAGTTATCCTGGTACAATAATAGGAAATATCAGAGATTTAAATGTAACTTACATTATGTTGTACAGCAGAACTAATCCTCCAGTTTTATTGCACAGTACTACACATACTACACAAAAACATGCATTTCTGTTTTTGTTCAGACCTTCTGAGCAAAACATTTCAACCCCCACACCCCAATTTCAGCAGTGATGTCAGGTTTCGGATGTTATGGTTCAATATTCTACCAAAGATTTCAACTAGAGTTTGATATCAGGAGTGTCACTTTTGAATATGATTGCTTCAGATTTGGTCAGTATCTTCCAGTTTTCTCCTGGTTCCACACCAGCAAAGACATGTCTCTCTTCAACTAGTTAATAGTAGTGGAGAACAATGGTGGAGGGAGCTGTAGAGGCTCACCATGTTCCTTGCCATCAGTGTGCTTCATGTGCGTGAGGTCAGAGATATGTGGTTGTAGAGACTTTCCATACAAGGATAGGGGGAATCTGATTCAAACAAGTTCTCCCTTCTTGTGCAGGATCTCTGTGTGCTGCACGTGCAGCTTGCCATGTTTGCTTGAACTTCTTGGCTTCTTCTAACAGATCAAGAGTGGGCAACCTGCTCTTCTGAGGCACCCCCAGCACTCCCATGTCCCCTGCCTCATCCTCCTTTTAAATTTAAAAAGCTCCCCTGCCCCCTCTAGAGAATGGAGGATGCAATTTTGACAGATATCCCCATCCCCAACCTATTTTAGGCCTGAGGGGAACTTTCTTCAAAACTGGACATGACAGGCCGTCCCTTTTAGATTTGAAAGAAGGCTCTCCTTGAGTTTAGATCAAAGAGTGCCAAAAACACAGCAAAATGATCCTCCATGCCTCCTAAAGGGCTTTTAAAGTCAAGCTAGAGAGACTGAGACATTCAGAGGAGTGCAACCTCTAAGTTGCCATCACAGTAGTAGACTGAGTGCTTTGAAGTGTATATAGCAAATTAATGCAGTCGGTCTCTAGGGAACACTTTAGCTCAATGGTTTAGGTATTGGGCTTCAGAGCCAGCATTTGAGAGTTTGATTTTCCACTGTGCCTCCAGAGACAAGAGCCAGCCTATGTAGCCTTGAGCAAACTGTATCCCAGGATGCTCCCAGAAGGGAATGGCAAACCAGTTCTGTGTATTCTGTATTTAGCAAACCCTGGAAAGGGTCACCATATGTTGAAATTGACTTGATGGCATGCAATTATTATAATTATTAAGAACTGATCTACGTGTTAGGGACTGAATAAGACAGAAGTGGCGAAAACAAGGCCCTCCTTGTGTTGTTGCACTGTACCTCTCAAAAGCCCTAGTCAGCACAGCCAAAGGTGAGGAATGTTGGGAGCTGAAACCCAAACAACCTGTGGAGGGTCACATTTTACCCTCTCCCCCGGTAATTTGAAGCCTAAGTAAATTTATACACAGAGGTATAATTGTTGAGTTGGGTACACATGGACCCTCTTGCATGTTGAAAGTACACATAATGGGGCTTGTAATTTTCATCAGTGGCCCCACATTTAGGAACAGCATAACACAATCCTTTGCTTACAGGGTTCACTGAGATATTCTAGACCAACCTGGATTTCCCTTGACAGGTTGATACACATAGAGTCTTTACCCACAAGTGCCAAATGTGCAGGAAGCTGGTGCAGAGAACAGTAGGAGAGTAAAGCTAGTTCTGCCATCTTCTCACATTTTTTCATTGTATGAGGAAGTGTATGTGACTCATATATGTGATATATTTTTTAAAAGGCTGTGGCAGAAAGATGGCTTCACTATATTTCAGGTACTTTTTATTATCCTGTAGTTTTCCAAGTGTCACAGTCCAATAGCTAGCCATGACACTTTACCTTCCCAGACAGCAGTGTCAGCTTCTATCCTATCATCTTCTGCTGACTTCTTAAAGCTAAATAACTGCTTCCTTGCTCAGTTTGATCAGTAAAGGCAGTTAGGCTTGTGCATGCAGTGGAAATGGAATGTGTTTACAAATTGCCAAGATAAATTTTTGTTCTAAAGCCAGTTTAGTAAAAATGCACTGTCGCTGGAACACATTTGAAGCCAGTCATCTCCAGTATAATTAGTTACGCAAGACCCCTTTTTCTTTAGGAAGATGAAAGATAAGCATTGTAAAATATAGTCTCCATTGTGGAACTGAAAAACCAAATGGTTGGTTAGACCTTACGGCTAGTCTCTGGAAATTTAATCCTTTACATGCAATTACTAGTTCTGCAAATATGCTGATTAGAATAAACAGTTTATTTTACCTTTACTGTATCATTTTTCTAGTTCAAACTACTGCGACTCTCCCCAACCTTAATAATCAATAATTATAGTGATAATCTTAGAACTTATCTTAAAATGAATCTAAGAACTTTGGGGCAGGAAGAAATCCTATGGATTGCATCCAGCCCCTGTCAAGGAGGCACAAGAATCAAACTCCCACCCTCCGGCTCAGCAACCAGATACCTAAACCACTGAGCTATCTAGCTATGCCATAATTCAGAACACGAGAAAAGATTAATTAAAATAAAAAAATGGAGATTGAGGAATGTGGGAAATCACCAACAGAGGGACAGGACATTTCCTGTCCCGATATTGAGGAGATACAGCAAGGTGCAACAAAAGAGAACTCTTAGTGAGCTATGCCTAGATCTAGAAACCTATTCAAGCTATTCATGAAAAGCAGAAGGCCTCAAAGGAGCAGGCCTGTAGGTTAGCATTCTGTTGATTGTCCATGCGTGCAGTGTGGCTCTGCTGCTTGTTATGGATTTTGAGCCTTGGAGGAAGACATGCTGGCTTCTTGCTTGGAGGGCTGCTGAAGAGTCTCATGCTTATGTGTCTTCAGCTTATAAATTGTGTCCCAGACTGCCAGTCCTAAAGAGTCTCTGGCATCTATGGTACAGTACAGGAGTTTCTGCTTGAGAGATCAACCCACGGCTGTCCCTGTAGACACCAATTCTCTCCTCAGCCTCTGTGACAATATCTAGATCAGTGGTGGATGCCAGGGCTATGGCAGGGTTCAGCCTTAGGAAATGGAACCTACAAACAGAAATGAGTAATTTCTTTATCAATGTTTATTCCTGTGTCCACAGAGATTTGGAACTTGGCTTCTGCTTACTTGTGGTGCCTATTTTGATCCTTTTTTTTTCCTCCTGTGAATATGCTTGACTTAAAACACAACACCTAAGTCTAGAAAGTTATGCGCACTAAGCTGCATTCTATAAAATTGGGATTTGCTTCAGATTGGACATGCTCAGGATTTGGCTGCAAATGTACTAAACAAGAATGGGGAACATGTGGTCCTCCGGATGCTGCTGGATTGCAGCTCGTATTATCCCTCAGCATGCTGGCAAGCATGATGAAAACTGCTGTTCAATAACAGCTGGGCTGGAGCCACACTTTAAAACCCCATTAACATTTTATCTGCAACGAGAAAGGGGAAAATGTCATGATCTCATGCAATTCTTCTTAGAGGTACGTCCAAATGAACACAGACAAATGCAGAATTAATTACGGCTTATTTGTGATGGGGGCTATTAATAAAATGTCTAAATTGGAAATTGAGGGCTTATTCCCAGGAAAGTGAAAGTTATCTGCAGTATATATAAAGATTGCATGGTGCTAATAAATATGGCATATTTTTAGGGGGAAATGTAGCAGCTTTTATATCACAGCAAGAAGATGAAAAAGAAAAATGAAAGGTTGTGTTCCATCCTGCCAGTTCTATCCATGGAAAGATATTTCACTGGGTTCAGATTTTGGAACTTCATAGGTGAAACAATTTATTATGGGATGAACTTTTGATCAAGTAGATGCAGCTTAAAAGCATTCATGTAAAAATAAACCAGTCACAATTTGTGACATTCTTGTAGGGTTGCTTTATACAGTCAAACTACTTTCAAGAAGAAAATGAAGATAGTAACACTTGCAAGAGCAAGCAGTTGCTTCAAAAAGAAATACTCTTCTGCCTTTGGGAAAAGTTGTACCTCTGTCAGCTTGGACCGTCAAACTACTTTCAAGAAGAAAATGAAGATAGTAACACTTGCAAGAGCAAGCAGTTGCTTCAAAAAGAAATACTCTTCTGCCTTTGGGAAAAGTTGTACCTCTGTCAGTTTGGACCTCATATAGACCACACAGTAGATAAAATTCAAAGTTCTCGGTTCTATCTATAGTCCCAAGGTTAAGAACCAGTGATATAGACCACGCAGTAGATAAAATTCAAAGTTCTCGGTTCCATCTATAGTAAAAAGGAAAATAAAGGTATATTATTCATTACATTTTACATACGAATTATTACCTCTAGACTTCAATCTACACACTCACCTGCAAGTAAATTACTAGATCCCTGGTGGAGAAGGACCACTAGCAATATTAAATATCTCTCAAGTTCACAGTGGTGTTGGGTATTTGATTCTAGATCAAAGGTATTTTGTTATCCATGCTGAATACTCTCTATAGTTGGCATAGGAGCAAAATGTCGTTACCCATCATTTATTCATCACATTTGGCTAGATGCTGTACAGAAAACAGAACTGGGACCATCATAGCTCAACGGGACTATAATGCCAGAGAAGGAAAAAGGCCATAAGTGGATCAAAGGGTAGCAAAAGTGAGAATACAGATTATTTGGTTGACAATGGTAAATATAGATAGGTGAAATCTGGGGAAGAAATAAATTCTGAATGTCATCGAAGGAAAAGGTAAATAAATAAAAGGAGGATCCTTACAGAAGTATAGGCTAGCTGCCTTAACTATCAGGAACCACTGATGTGTCTTATTTATTTGATTTATATACCACTTCAATAGTGCAAGCACTACTCTGGGTGGTTTAAAAAAAAAGAAAAATTAGTTACTGGAGATAACTATGTTGCTTGTCCCCTCCCCCAACAAATGCCAATCGGAGTTTATTAAGGCTTATGAGAAGGAATTATCTACACTGTATATGCAAGCAGAGGGAACATCTGCAATCAAAAATGGATGTCAATCAGTGAGCATCCCATATTGTTCATGTAATATGGATGTTACCAAGACACAAATGATATTGGCAAAGTCTGTTTAGGAAGGGGGACAGCTGATGAACAAGAGGTACGTAGTGAAAAACATTCTGCGCCACATCTAACATCAACTACCTCTTTGGTCAGATGCATTACCCATCAATAAGAATCACAATCTTTGTTGAGCTTTATTCCCTTCACCTTCATCCAGTGAATTACTAATTTCAAGCACCATTTCACAACTTCTTTCATTTCACCTAACTCTCGATTTGTCCAGATAGGGCAATATAAACACTCCCTCTCTTTTGGCTGGCTGCAGTTGGTTGCAAAGAATCATGGGGCTTACCAAAGTCCAAATACAAATTGCCCCTTTTAAAGTCACTTTCCTCAGAACCTTCCCTCCCCTAAGAAAATCTTGAGGATTTTTTTTCTAAACTGGGTAGTACTGAATTTGATCCTGCAATTTTTCTTCTGATGCAATTTTTAAAAAACTGGTTTTACACCTAATTGTATCTAATTAAATGCTTCTATCTGGGCACTCTGACCTGAAAATGAATTCCCAACTGTTTCAACCACCTCTCTGAAAACCTGTTTGTTTAGTCAGAAGAACATCTCAAATCTTTTGATATCTTATAAAATTGCTCTTGTTTGAGAAAGTAAATTAATTCCCTACCTTCTAATTATTGAAAGTTTCCAACAAGGAAGCTCTGAACTAGGAAACAAACCATGGAAGGGCCATAATGCCAAATTCTAGCCCCATGGAACAATGCAACTTTAAAATAAACCATGCCTTGCAGTAGGGAGAAAACAAAAAAACCACAGGAAGTTTTGGATTTTGTTATCCTTTGTTACTAGACATGCCAAGACAAAGCATGTTGTCTGGATAGCAGGAAAATATCATGAACCTCAGTGATAAATTAGGTACACTTCAGGGAACAAATGGTCTATTCTCTGTTACAAAGGAGAAATAAAAATGGGTAACATCCCACGTATTGCTATCACGATATTTGAAATCTCCAGACAAGCTTCTCTAGTGATGTCATGTACAATTTAGATATTAAATAGTGTTAGCCAAAGGAGTTCTCCACAATCTCTAAGCAACAGAGGAACAGCTTTCTACAGAAGTTAATCCCCCCCTCTTAATAAACCCATCTGTTCACATACCTAAATCTAAACCCAATGTCACACTACTGTGTATGCCAGGGCGGAACTAATCAAGGGGCTCATTCCCAAACTCCAATGTTGCATTGCCCTGCGTTAGTCAAGACCAGAGTAATGAGACTTCTTCCTCTCTACCCTGCAGGGTCTGATAGGTCTCCATCAAGCAGGAATTTGGTGTGCATGGGATGTGTACATAGGGGGAAGAGGGTATAGCTTGACATTTCTAGTCAAGATACAAATCTATAAGCAAAACCACTTATTGAATCCTGTCCCTCATGTAGTTTCTTACAGTAGATTCTTATCTCTACATCTGAAGAAGTGGATTTGTCCACAAAAGCTCACATTAAAACATAGCAGTTAATCTTTAAGATGCCACAGCATTTTTGTCTTCTTTTTCTTTTGTTTCTGCCTGTTACACTAGCACTGACTAACACAGTCACCTCTTCTAAAACTACATAAGGTAAAGGTAAAGGTTCCCCTTGACAATTTGTCCAGTCGTGTCTGACTCTAGGAGGCGGTGCTCATCTTTTAATTTGTCCAGTCGTGCGTGACTAGACACGGAACGCTGTTGCCTTTCTACCATGGTGGTACCTATTTATCTACTTGCGCTTGCATGCTTTCGAACTGCTAGGTTGGCGGGAGCTGGGACTAGCGACGGAAGCTCACTCCGTCGCATGGATTCAATCTTATAACTACAGTACATATATCAAGATTATTACCAAGATTACTACCAAGATTAAAAACAATTTTAAAACACTTAAACATCTCTAAGTTTAATAAACAAAGCATTCCTGAGACATTTATGGCTTGAAGGGTGGCCTGAAAAGAAAGGTTTTTGCCTGACAATAGAAGGACAAGAGGGAGGAGGCTAACCTTGCTTCTTAGGGCAGCACATTCCAAAGCCTGGGAGCAACCACTGAGATGGCCTTCTTTTGAATCCTCACCAAAAAAGCTTGGGAAGGTGTTGGAACTGAGAAAAGGGCCTCACCAGAAGATCTTAAAATCCGAGAAGGCTCATATGGGGTGATATGATCCTTCAAAAATCTTGAACAAAAGCTGCATAGCCTTTAGTGATAGCAATCTCTCTGAACTGGGTGTGGAAACAGAATGGCAGCCAGGGAAACTGCTGTAATCAGAGGAACAGCTTATATGCTCCCTGTAACCCCTTCAGTTACAGCAATGGCTGCAGCATTTTCAACCAGCTGAAGTTTCTGAACACTCTTCAAAGGCAGCCCCACATAGACTGCATTGCAGTAATCGAAGTGGGATGCAACTACTGTAAGCCATCTGTAACCATGGCCAGATTGGACATTTGAAGGAATAGGTGCAGCGGGTGTACCAGCTTTAACATATATCAATGACGAAGAGCAACTTCCTTTGTAGAATACATCTTTCACCTTTTTCTCAGAAAACACCTAGACTAACATGCTTAACTTGATTTAATGATGCAAATGTTATTACAACACACAAAAGCAGAACCTTCAGTAGAAGGGAATGAAAAAAAATAGACCTAGCACAAATGTGGTTTGCAAAATTATATCCTGTGTTCTTTGTTTTCCAGATTGCAGTCTTCTGAACACATAAAAACAGTTCTGTGCAACCTGAAAAAGCGAAGTATATGGAGTTTTGGCATTTTTTTAAAAAAATTGTTCAAGCAGGCAGGTTCTCCATTATAAATTGAGAAGCATAAATATTTACATAGAATCAAGATTCTGTGCACAAGTAAAGCTCTTCCATTCATAGGCTCCCCATCTCATTAAACCTGAATTGCATTTTAGTGGTGACTTTCAATCTTGCCATTTTAGACTATGATTCTGTTAGTTTCTATATGAGTTTGAACTTGACTTGTGCTTATAAAAGGCTTTGGGAGGAAAAGCAAAGCCACAAGCGGCAACGGTGATTCAAGTGATGAGACCAAGTCAAACTTTGCAAAGTATTGGAACTGTTTGATTAAGTTTGAAAGACTGAAAAAGAAAAACTATAATTCAAACAATGCTTAATTCTAGTTTCTTAGTAGTGTTTTATAAAATACTGTTCATTAATAATAAGTATATTGATGCTGGCTGGATAGCTCAGTGCATTAGGTGTTTGCCTGTAGAGCCAAAGGTTGGGAGTTCGATTCTCTACTGTGCCTCCTCTGTGTAATGTCAGCTTGTGTGGTCTTGGGCACCCTCAGAAGGAGGAAATGGTAAACCAATTCTGAGTACTCTCTATCTAGAAAACCCTGGAAAAGTGTTGCTATAAGTCACAATGATGACAATGAAGTATGTTGATAAGACTTATGTAAGTTTATGGCCAATACTCTGTTGCGTAACACTGGTACATATTTCATTTCATTCTAGAGAGCTTCAAGTACTGCAATACAGCAAAGGACTGGTTCATCAACCCCTGTTACTTTTCTATTACAATAAAAATAGGAGGTCAGATTTCCAGTCAATTGTGATGAGATGAACCATATGTTGTGCAATAAGCAGGTGAGAACTAGTTGTCTAAAGGAGCTCAGACCCATTTAGTTAATGATGTGGGGGCTTAATAGCTATAACTCTTCTATTGGATTTAAAAAGTCAAGAAAGCAATGGGTGAAATAAGAAAATCAGTAAGACTGAACTAGATGCTTGGACTTTTTCCCCCTTGGATTTTAGGGAGAATCATACAGCTTAAAACTGGATAAAAGTCTTTTCACATCTTAAAAACTGTCAGATTCATTATTTCTCACATTTTCTCCAAGCCACGTACATGGTTCTCCTAATCCCAACTTTTATCTTCACAACAACCATGTAAGGTCTGTTTGGCTAAGGAAAAGAATGACTAGGCCAAGGTCACTCAGAGAGTTTAATAATTCTGCGGAAACTGAACCTGGATCTCTCACATCCCAGCTCTACACTCTACACACCACATTGGCTTTAAAAAGGCACAGGGTTGTGGGTGTTTGTGTAACTATAAACAGTGAAGCAGGGGGAAATGAAATGCAGAAAGCAGAGCAGGTGATGGCACTTACTATATTAAAAGTGGCTACAGAAGTTTGAGTAGTCAAACTATTCGAATTAAATTTTGAGCATTTCTATGTATTGTATAAGAGCTCAAATTTTAATGTCAGATTCCTTTGCCAGAGGTTTTTTAAAATTACAAACCGTATGCTTTTTCTTGTTTTTTAAGTATTGCAACTTCTTTTTAATAATGCATTTTATTATTTATTTCTATAAGCCACTCAGAGAGTTTTTTTTGATGGGAGACCATACAAATCCAGGCCAATAAATAAATAAATGAATAAGAAACAAAAACATTGTGGCACTAACTACTATAGTATAATGTGAACTTTTGTGGACAAGTAACTTTTTCAGACATACAAATCGAGTGATTTTTAAAAAATCATATTAAATGCTTAAGAATTAGTGCCACTGGTGTATAGGTGCAGTATTACAACCAGATAGAAAACAATTACCACATGTAACAGAGGCAGAAGATATGCCACATCCTGAATCCTGATGGCTCAAATCTACAGTACTTTTCTTTGGCTTGCTTGCCAGCTTGTTTGTTTGTTTTTAATTCCCCTCTAGCTGAAAACAACACAAAGGAAGCCAACTTTAGGGCTGGTATTATTTCATAACCTGTTTGGATTTGGGGTCCTCTGGAACCAAGACCTTCTACAACATGTCTCAGAAATGTCTTATTCTGGTCATTGCTGGAACGGGGAACTGGCTGGTATCACACTGCAAAGCCTCTACTACTCTCCTGCGGAATATAATATTGTTTTTTTAAAAGGCAATTATAATAATTAAAGGCCATTGAGCAACAGAAGAGGCACTAACAATTAATTGGCATGCATGTAAATTTTTAAAAATCAGACACCATCTTTGAAGAGAGATGCCATATTCTTACTTGAGAGAATGTCTCTTCTAAGAATACTTACCAAAAAGCAGTCTCTCCCTGACTTCTTCAAAACTCTTGTATGGTATAATTTTCAATTATTATCATTTAATCAATTAAAGTTGCTTCAATCATCTGAGTGACATGCGTTACCAAGCTCATTCCACTTATGGCAACTCTAGCAGGGTTTACAAGATCTATGAGATATTTACTCAGGAAGCTTACCAGGGCGGCCACACCTTCTTCCCCAAGTTTTCATGGCCGGGTAAGGGATTTTATTTCAGTTCTCCTAAATGCTAGTCCAACACTCCACATGTTATACTACACTGGCTCTCTTTAAATGTGTACTAATCCTAACTTTAATGTAGACTGAAGGCAGAAAAGAGCAACTAAGAAAGTTACAGCCAAGTAGACAGAGGCTTTATATATATGTACACGCTCATATGATTTTTTTTTAAAAAAACTTGAGATACGTAAATATCTTCCGTCCAGTCTACGGTTTATTCCGAGAAAACATAAGAGATTCACCTATTAGTCCCATCCCGCGGGGCAAAACTGGTCGATAACTATCATGTTTCCTTGGAAGTACTGTACATCGTATTGCTTTCAACGTACTGCTCGGCACCTGGGTTATAAAATGTTAATAGCACTGCAGTTTAAATAGACACACCGCGAAAAACAGGCAACATAGTCTGCCGATGCTTAGCTTCCTCAGCACTATTTTTTTGAAAAAACTGTAGTCTCTTCACTCTAGAAACAGCTGGCTTTAGTTACCTAATCCACAACTAAGGGAGGGTTATAAAAGCCTCCTTTTTAGTATGGGCTTTAAAGTCGCCTCGATTGCCGCAAGAAAAACAAGGCAGGGCCCTTCTCTTTGTCCCCCCCGCTTTCTCCTTTATCCAGGCTACGCCTGCTGCTTACCTGGATACACCTGAGCTCACCTGAGCTTGCGCAGGCGCCGCCTTTTTTTTCTTCCTAGCCCACTGCACCCTTCTCGCCTCCCTGCCCCGCCCGTTCCTGGAGGCGCAGGCGCACTGGCGCTTGCCCGGCAACACTCCTGGGAACTCGGCTCAGCGCTGTCATGGCGGCAGAGAGCGGCAGCAATCGCTAAGGCAGGCAGGAAGCGATGGAGGCGCGCACCCGGGTGGCTGCGGAGTGAGGGCGGCGGCACAGAAACTTCAGGTTGCTTCCGTGAGCGGGAGCTCGTCCCGAGTCCCTCTCCCTGAGCCCAGGCGGGGGGGGGCAGCCCCACACCGCTGGTGGTGGGAATTCTAGCGTCCACCTCCCCGCCCCTAGCAGCAGCCGCCCGGCTTTAGAGGAGGCAGCTTCTCCCTCCTCCTCCTCCGTTCGCAGCTCAGGCGGCAAGCGGAGGGCTCGGGGAGCGCGAACTTCCTGCCTTGGCCCCACTTTTGTCCTTGCACCTGTGACGGCGCGGGAGGGGAGGCGGTCAGAGCGGCAGCCGCCTCGGCGCTTTTACCTTCGCGGCTTGAAACCCAAGGGCAGCAACGGGAGACGCGGTTGCAAAAGCCGGGGAGGGGGGAACCCGGAGGGGGGTACTCTTTGGAAAGGCAGCACACCTTTCTTCCCCCCCCTCCGCCACCTTTGCGAGGAACTTTAACATCTGAGCAGAAGAAATGCAGCAGGGAGGCGCTTACCTGCGTGGTGCAGTTACGCCTGCCCTTGTTTCCTCAGGCGAGGGAGAAAGGGGAGCGGAGGGTGTGCAAAAAGAAGCGAGAGTTTTGCCCTTCGGTCGCTGTTAGGCTTCGGGTTCCTGTTGGGTTTGCATATAGTTATGCAGAGGATGATTGTACAGTAATTCTAATTACAATTATCTCTGTCGTTTCCTGATTATTTCCGTAATATATTTCAGAGGCCACGGACCGAGTCCCGGTGCGGCAGGAGAGAAGCCGATATTCTTTGCATTGAAAAAGGAGAAGAAGAAGCTAGATATTGTGTGTTCAGGTGCTTCAGAAACTGCACCTGAAGAAGACCCAGGCTAGAGGCTGAACTCCTTACACTTTTGGAGCGCTGGTGTGCACGGACAGTTTTGAAGCGAACTAGCTATGGCTAGCGAAGGCAAACAGGCTTCCTTTCCTCCGCCAACAGGTGATGATGGAGGAGGGGGAGGCAGTGCTGGAGGGGGAAAAGAAGGCAACGCAGCTGAAATGCAGAACAAGCTGCAGCCTTTGAATCCAGGAGTCCCAATCCGTGGCATCCGGATGAAATTTGCTGTTCTGGCAGGACTGGTGGAAGTTGGCGAAGTATCCAATAGGGATATTGTAGAAACTGTGTTTAATCTGGTAAGTAAATTGCTTGGTAGATTTTTTTTATTTTTGAAGAAATGAAGGTTAGGGGACAAATTAAGGCAACTATGTTTAAGTTCTACTGTTTACCTTATTATCTTGGCTGTATAGAGTATTCTCTTTATCTTTTTATTCCAGGTCAGTGAGTAATGAGGTATTTTCCTCGAAGGGATCCTTAATCAGCTCAGTTGATTAACCAGTGTTAGGTTGTATTATTGTTTCCTCTGGAGGTTCCCTCTCCCTCCCTTTCCAACTGATTTCAAGGCATAGCTTCTTTCAAAGTTTCTTTCTTGCTATTTGAGACTTCATAAAAGTAAATTGATAGTGCTTGTCTGGTGCCGAATTGTGACTTGGTTCTAAATAATGCATATATATCTTTTTGTAATTCTGGAGTAATATTTTGTGATATTAGGCCAATGTAGTAATTCAGCATACCATTGTAAGCACATACAGTAATTGCAAATGCCATACAGTTTAAAGTTGTGATATAAGACTTTCTGTAAGTGGTGTTAGAATATTACAGTCTTGTGCTAGGAACTAGTAATATTGTGACGTTTTCAAAGTTTGTGTATATTTAATATACAATTATGTAAACATTTAAGGGCAAGGGTAATCAGTGGTCATCTCTCAACTGTAGTTAAGGGGACAGTAGTTAACTTTGAATACCCAACTTTGAAAATGTTTAAGATAATTTAAAGCTAAGCTTAGGAATGTAATGGGAACTAAAAGTATAGTATATACAGTATTGTTCTGTATAGATGTAAGTCTCTGGAGTTGGAATTCTGAAAAGAATATGACCTCTTTGATTCATTGTCATTCTTTTATTATACTTTTATCTTGCTTTTCCATTAAAAGAAAGCTCTTAAGGCAGCTAGCAGACATTAAATACATCTTTAAAAACCCATGAAAATCACAATAATCAAAATCAGTAAAGACCAGTTTAAATGTCAAGTTTGAAAGGACATGTCTTCCTAGACTGCCTTAGTAAACCATTTACTGCCCTGATGACTATCCTGAATTGGCATAAATGTAACTATCTGAATTGGAGTGATTTGATGTGATCTCTTTTTGGAAGTTACAGCCTGCACTTTCACAAAGTCCTGCACTTTCACTTAGCTGTCTAATTAAAAGTCCCTCTTGTTTTTGACAAACCTGGAAGGATTTATTTTGTTTCACAGTTGGGAATCTACAGCTAGGGTGTAATGTAATTGCTATGAACATAGTAGTAAGTCTTGAAGTTAAAGCAGGAAAGAAGTAAGAGTTTATTTCCAAGAGTGCTTGAAACTGTTCTTTATTTCAAGTGTGTTATAGGGGTTGGATATCTATGTACATTATCTTCCAATGCAAGCAAATTTTGTTATTTTTTAAATTGTCTGTAGGTATGGCTAAGCATTGCCTAATGGGCATTTAATGACAACAGGTGAGGAAATGTTTCTGTTGGATAACTGCTGCCTAGGCCTGCTAAAGCAGGAAGAGAAAATTAATACCTTCAGCTAATTACTGGAAAAGCATATATACTAGGCCTTTTGAAAATTTGTTACTTTAAAACTCACTCCAGATCTCTTTTGCAATGTTCATTGGGCCAGGAGAGAAAAAAATAAGTGGGTTGAACCATCTAAAATTCCTGTGGTCACGATGAAGTTGGGGCCATGTTCTGCATGGTAATAAAATTCTTATGAAATCCCTGGAATTCTGCATTGTTTGTGCAGAATATTGTGAGCATGTGTAAACACAGTTTTGCTACTGTTTCAGAAGTTGCTCCTGCCTCATAGTGCTCTTATTTGTAGAGTAACATCTATAAAATCATGTGGTATAGCACATTTTTGTAGAAAAATGAACAGTACTAATATTACATTGCTTGCAAGTTGTTTCTTTTAGAGTTACTTAAGTAAAAGACTATAAAAGAATCTTAGGAAGTTGTATATGGAACTTACAACACATCTTCTACACCTGACTTCCCATTTTGCTGGAATATGAGCAAGAACACAGAGCTGTTTCCCTGTTAAATTGAATTTCATTTAATTAGATTGTATAACATCATTCTGTAGTGAGAGAATATCTCTGTAACCTAGGGAAATTCAAAATAGCTTTTCAATATTTCTTCAATTTTTTATTTTAGTGAGACTATATCCAAGCCAGTATATATCCAGTAAAATAGGGAACTGAACTTAATGATAAAAAGAACTATGCTGGATCAGACTAAAGTCTCTCCGGGCCAAAATTTTCTTCATATAGGAACAGTTCTGTTGCCTGTGTGAAACCGAGTGAGCAGCAGCACACAAGTGCAACAGAAATCTCACATCCCATATTAATTTGTTATGTGCTATCAAGTCAGAGCCGACTTATAGCAACCCTGATAGGGCTTCCAAGGCAAGTAAAATATTTAAGGAATGGTTTTACTAATTCTGTACCCCCAGTGACCCTCCATGATTGAGTAGGCATTTGAACCCAGATCTTTTGAATCCTAGTCCTTCACAATATCCACTGCACCATTTAGGATAGCCTTCATATTAATACTGGGGATTTTATATTATCACCCTCCTAGGTAGCCATTGATGGTCTTGACCTCCATGAAGTTGTGCAGTTCTCTTTTAATGCTGTTCAAGCTGGTAGCCATCACTGCATATTGTGCAGTGAGTTATACAATTTAACTACTACTGTGGTAGAACTCATGCAATATTAGGATAGAATTCTGTAGTTCACAGATCTCCCATCTGATTAATTGGGAGGGGTTGTTCCCAAACTCTCTTCCTATGCTTCCTGGTTTGCTGCCTGTCTGCTAACAGCTGATGTAAGTTGCATCACATCAGGAAAAAAGATCCTGAATGCCGGTTGAGACACCATCATCATATGAATGTTTGCTTTCTCATTATGTCATCTTAGGAAGTGTGCATAGAATCACAGTCTTGGTGTGGCCTAATGGCTGAGAGACTGAAGTTCCCCTTGTTCAAATTTCATAACTCTGTTCAAAACTAATCTGAAACACTTCTGAAGAAATGTGGGATGTAGCAATTCAGGACAATGTGAATAATAGGAGTTTAAACTTTCACATACTGGGTAATTTAGGAATCTAGAGACTGGTTAGCCACAAAGGCTTCTTGTGGTCCTTCCACCTGCATCCATTCTACCTGTAATGACAAGCATTTCACTTGAAGCTAGTAAACTTGTTTAGAACAATATGTCTCTCTACTTGTTGTGAGGTAGTTTTTGTGTGTGAGAGAGATAACTTTGAGAATATGTGGCAATATAATTTATTTTGTAAGGCATATGAACGTTAACAAAAACTTTTGAGTTAACATTTTGTTAAGAGGTTTCCATATTCACTCAGATTCCAGGAAATATTTTTTGTTTATTAGACATACTTTGAATAGCACCTTTTTAATGAAGACAAGGAAATATAACTCCACCAAAAGTTTTAGAGACTGGTTGTATCATGGAAAGCTGATGGGTGGGTCAGATTTCAAAATGTGTTAACTGTTAACACCTATTCTTTTAAAATACATCATGACAGCTTCTGCATTGCAAGCAGAATTTGGTGTTCTGGAATATCTAAGGGCTTGTCTATACAGGATCAATTGGAGTGGACTGGACTGATCTAAATAGGGTAGTTAGAGGTTGTGGATGGTGGCTGGATAGCTCAGTGAGGTAGGCTGCAGAGCCAGAAGTTGGGAATTCAGTTCCTCAGTGTGCATTCTGTAAGAGCCAATTTCTGTGGCCTTGGGCAAGCTGTAAAATCCCAGAATGCTCCCAGAAGTAGGGACTAGTAAGTAAACCACTTCTGAATACTCTCTACCTAGAAACTCTGAGAACAGTTGCCATAAATCATTGACTTGATGGCAACCTTCCTGCAGACAAATTCACTTTGGACTCAGCTCTGGGCAGGTTCTCAACCAGACGTTTAAGACAAGCAAAAGACAAGAAAAGCCCCTTGTTGCCCCGCCCTGCCTTCTCCTGCTTCTGAGAAAATGTTTCTTTTCCGTAAGTGATGTTACCACATCAGTAGTGCCCTATTGTAGTCTTTAAAAAAATCACTCCCATGGAGTGCAGAGAGGGAGTGTTTAATTTGCCAATATCCTGAAGTGGTCGTCATCTTAAGCCACTTCATGGCATGGCAGATTGACAGTAGCGGGCAACTTGAGAGCCACAGGGCACATTTTGTTAGTTTCCAGCAATTGCCTATACGGAAAGTGAAACAAAATCCTGAAGTGGCAGTCATTATACCTGCATCCAAAAGGAGCAGCCCCTGGCAGGGCCTAGAAAGGTGCAGGTAGGAATGCTCTGGGTACAGTTTGGATCACTGGAAAAAGGAGTGAACCAATTGTCCACATAGCGGACCAAACAGCAGGCTAAATACCTGTCTCTACTCTGACTTTTATTGCATGGCTGTGATCCCACTCTGGAGACTGATTGTACCTTGACTTGAGGATTTTAAAGTCAAAGATATATTCTTTTTCTCCATCTCTCCTTCAAACCTATCACCATGTTTCCTCTAATTTGTCGTCCTCAATTTGTTTCACCCTTAACTCCTAACATTTTCCTCATCCTATTTCTGTTGTCTGGTATGCTGGAGTTACTGGGCGAGGCCTACCTAAAATGGGCTAAGAACTAATGGTCCCTTTTATCCTGTTTGAGAAATGCTGTTTTAAACCATTGTTAAACTAAGCTTACCTCTCTTACAGAAAACTTGAAGGTCAAATACAGGCAGAATATCCACAAGTGTTGTTTCCATTCTCATATGTTAAGTAAAGTTTCACGTATTGAATTTCTGATGGTTATGTACATGGTAAGAGTAAAAGTGTTGTTTCCATTCTCATATGTTAAGTTTCACCTATTGAATTTCTGATGGTTATGTATGTGGTAAGAGTAGTGGTCAGACTGCTCCACAGAGGTCAGCAGTCTCTTCCCTATATGAGATGCAAGGCTATATAGGATGGTAGGGGCCAAAGGGAAAAAAAAATGAAGGCGATAAGACTACTGTTGGTAAGGATCCAAACTGT